CAGTGAATACTTCACACACTGAATGTTGCAGTGAATACTTCATGCACTGAATGTTGCAGTGAATACTTCACGCACTGAATGATGCAGTGAATACTTCACGCACTGAATGTTGCAGTGAATACTTCACACACTGAATGTTGCAGTGAATACTTCACACACTGAATGATGCAGTGAATACTTCACACACTGAATGATGCAGTGAATACTTCACACACTGAATGTTGCAGTGAATACTTCACGTACTGAATGTTGCAGTGAATACTTCAAGTACTGAATGTTGCAGTGAATACTTCACGCACTGAATGTTGCAGTGAATACTTCACACACTGAATGCTGCAGTGAATACTTCACACACTGAATGATGCAGTGAATACTTCACACACTGAATGTTGCAGTGAATACCTCACGCAGTGAATGTTGCATTGAATACGTCACGCACTGAATGTTGCAGTGAATACTTCACGCACTGAATGTTGCAGTGAATACGTCACGCACTGAATGTTGCAGTGAATACCTCACGCACTGAATGTTGCAGTGAATACCTCACGCACTGAATGATGCAGTGAATACATCACGCACTGAATGTTGCAGTGAATACGTCACGCACTGAATGATGCAGTGAATACTTCACAAACTGAATGTTGCAGTGAATACTTCACACACTGATGTTGCAGTGAATACTTCATGCAGTGAATGTTGCAGTGAATACTTCACGCAGTGAATGTTGCAGTGAATACTTCACAAACTGAATGTTGCAGTGAATACTTCACACACTGAATGTTGCAGTGAATACTTCATGCACTGAATGTTGCAGTGAATACTTCACACACTGAATGTTGCAATGAATACTTCACACACTGAATGATGCAGTGAATACTTCACACACTGAATGTTGCAATGAATACTTCACACACTGAATGATGCAGTGAATACCTCACGCACTGAATGTTGCAGTGAATACGTCACGCACTGAATGATGCAGTGAATACTTCACAAACTGAATGTTGCAGTGAATACTTCACACACTGAATGTTGCAGTGAATACTTCATGCACTGAATGTTGCAGTGAATACTTCACGCACTGAATGATGCAGTGAATACTTCACGCACTGAATGTTGCAGTGAATACTTCACACACTGAATGTTGCAGTGAATACTTCACACACTGAATGATGCAGTGAATACTTCACACACTGAATGATGCAGTGAATACTTCACACACTGAATGTTGCAGTGAATACTTCACGTACTGAATGTTGCAGTGAATACTTCAAGTACTGAATGTTGCAGTGAATACTTCACGCACTGAATGTTGCAGTGAATACTTCACACACTGAATGCTGCAGTGAATACTTCACACACTGAATGATGCAGTGAATACTTCACACACTGAATGTTGCAGTGAATACCCCACGCAGTGAATGTTGCATTGAATACGTCACGCACTGAATGTTGCAGTGAATACTTCACGCACTGAATGTTGCAGTGAATACGTCACGCACTGAATGTTGCAGTGAATACCTCACGCACTGAATGTTGCAGTGAATACCTCACGCACTGAATGATGCAGTGAATACATCACGCACTGAATGTTGCAGTGAATACGTCACGCACTGAATGATGCAGTGAATACTTCACAAACTGAATGTTGCAGTGAATACTTCACACACTGATGTTGCAGTGAATACTTCATGCACTGAATGATGCAGTGAATACTTCATGCACTGAATGTTGCAGTGAATACTTCACACATTGAATGTTGCAATGAATACTTCACACACTGAATGATGCAGTGAATACTTCACACACTGAATGTTGCAGTGAATACTTCACACATTGAATGTTGCAATGAATACTTCACACACTGAATGTTGCAGTGAATACTTCACGCGCTGAATGATGCAGTGAATACTTCAAAAAACTGAATGTTGCAGTGAATACTTCACACGCTGATGTTGCAGTGAATACTTCATGCAGTGAATGTTGCAGTGAATACGTCACGCACTGAATGTTGCAGTGAATACGTCACGCGCTGAATGATGCAGTGAATACTTCACACACTGAATGTTGCAGTGAATACTTCACACACTGATGTTGCAGTGAATACTTCATGCAGTGAATGTTGCAGTGAATACTTCACGCAGTGAATGTTGCAGTGAATACTTCACAAACTGAATGTTGCAGTGAATACTTCATGCAGTGAATGTTGCAGTGAATACCTCACGCACTGAATGTTGCAGTGAATACGTCACGCGCTGAATGATGCAGTGAATACTTCACAAACTGAATGTTGCAGTGAATACTTCACACACTGATGTTGCAGTGAATACTTCATGCAGTGAATGTTGCAGTGAATACTTCACGCAGTGAATGTTGCAGTCAATACTTCACAAACTGAATGTTGCAGTTTATACTTCACACACTGAATGTTGCAGTGAATACTTCATGCACTGAATGTTGCAGTGAATACTTCATGCACTGAATGTTGCAGTGAATACTTCACACATTGAATGTTGCAATGAATACTTCACACACTGAATGATGCAGTGAATACTTCACCCACTGAATGTTGCAGTGAATACTTCACACATTGAATGTTGCAATGAATACTTCACACACTGAATGTTGCAATGAATACTTCACACACTGAATGATGCAGTGAATAATTCACACACTGAATGTTGTAATGAATACTTCACACACTGAATGATGCAGTGAATACCTCACGCACTGAATGTTGCAGTGAATACGTCACGCACTGAATGATGCAGTGAATACTTCACGAACTGAATGTTGCAGTGAATACTTCACACACTGAATGTTGCAGTGAATACTTCATGCACTGAATGTTGCAGTGAATACTTCACGCACTGAATGTTGCAGTGAATACTTCACACACTGAATGCTGCAGTGAATACTTCACACACTGAATGATGCAGTGAATACTTCACACACTGAATGATGCAGTGAATACTTCACACACTGAATGATGCAGTGAATACTTCACACACTGAATGTTGCAGTGAATACTTCACGTACTGAATGTTGCAGTGAATACTTCACGTACTGAATGTTGCAGTGAATACTTCACGCACTGAATGTTGCAGTGAATACTTCACACACTGAATGCTGCAGTGAATACTTCACACACTGAATGATGCAGTGAATACTTCACACACTGAATGTTGCAGTGAATACTTCACACACTGGTTAGAACCACATCACCTCAGCGGTGATGAACGATGACGTCACAGGAAACGACCGAAAGGGATTACAATGCGTGGTACAATATCGGGGAATACCCTCGCTAAAATTAGGTCGATCTGACTGTGTGTAACAACTCTATATACAAACATGATCTTAACATATCTCAATAGTAACATACCTTTTGATAATCATAGCAATTATCTAAGGTTACAAAAACCCTTTTTGTATTATATTATTGGCCTGTCTATTGCGGTCGGCTGGTTAACCTACATGAAAGCCTGTTTACTCAAGACGTGGACAGCTGTGTCAACAAGCCTCTCAATGCGAGACAGTTGACTATATATATGTTGTGTGAATAGTACACTGGGTGAAAACGAAATTATAAGTATCACAAAGGAGAACATCTTCTAAAAGTGGCAAAAAACTATCAGAAATTTGATTGCAAACTAAATCACCTGCTACAAAAGCCACTCGAAAAAACAAAAATCCATCATAAACCCCCAAAAGTGAGTAATAACTAAACCTACAAACAGACCGCACTCAGTTAAACTCCCACCTACACGAAATTAAAAAAAACACAAAACCAAACATAAATGCCCCCACTGGAACTGAAAAGAAACGGATTACTATATTGCACACGCTACCAGCACAACACTCCAATCCAAACTAAATTGCAGCAATCAAATGACACTAGCAACGGTACTAAACCCCCTAAATGACTTACAAACCTTTAAAGCACTAGGCATATATCTAACAAAAACAGGCCTACCTGGCCGCATTTAAAAATAAAAGTACAACAAAATTCAGTTAACTCTCTTGCCTCGGGAAGGTGGAGAGAGGCAAAATTTGATATCAGTTTACTTCACATCAAGAAGTGGCTTGCTAGTATAGGGCTAATAAGTCGTTTGCTCCACTGTGCAGGTGATACAGAATAATCAAAACAGTAACTGACTAATTTATGCAATAATTTTATGCAGCGAGAGTTCTGTAAAAACTTCAACTGGTACACCATCCAGACCGACAGCTTGCCTTTTTTGGTGTGCAAAACCGCTCGTTCGACCTCCTGGTACGAGATGGGCATGTTGTGCTCAAGCGTATCCATCTGCACGTGCTCTGTACCGTTACCTACACGTTCACACACTTTCTTATAGTGGTCTTCATCAAACGAGCTGTTATCACTACCGTTGTAAAGCGTGCTGTACGAGTCCCTCTAGTGTTCAAGCACGGTGTCAACACCACTATGACATGAAGTTTGTGTGATGGATAAGGGTTTGTACTCCAATGGGGTAATGTGACACACAGTGAGCCAGCTCACACATACTGGCCAACCGTGAAGATCCGGGATAGAATAGGTCTTCAGCAACTCATGCTGGCTGTAAAAGGTAACTATGCTTGTCGTAAGAGGCGACAAAACGGATCAGGTGGTCAGGCTCGCTGACTAGGTTGATGAATGTCATCGTAGCCCTTTCCGTAGATCACTGCTCATGACGGCATTTACGGGATTATCTGGTCCAGACTCGATTATGTAAAGGCCACCGTCATATAATTGTAATATTGCTGAGTGCGGCGTTTAACAACAAACAAAACAAGAACAATCTGCATCACATATTTCTTCATGTATGACCTTAAAATGCTGCATATCCTTGATAACTTGTCATGGGTTACACTGTGTTTGCTTAGAGATTTGGGTCCTACGTTGTTGGTGGTAATGTAAGGGCGTCCGTTCGTCCTTATAGTAACCTGAACACTATCCCCTCCTAAACCAAATGTTAACAAACGAAAAGGATAGCGACCAAATCATGGATATATTGTATTGCCATTAATCATTTACTAACATATCTCTTTGCCTATTTCTCTCTGTTGAGAGACGTTCCCATGCCAATACTGATACACAGCCAAGGCAACTGTGTGTACCTCCGAGAAACATATGGGCACAGACATCAGAGGAGGACTGACGCACTTGGGTAGCGTGTAGTTGCAGTTAAAATGTAAGCCAATTATGAAAATTGTTTTAGTTTAATAACATGTGTTTCATTGCTGTACCAAATGTAATATTGCCTTAGTTGTGGACTCGAGACCAACTGCAGTTGCAGTTCAAGGAAAAGGGTTTAGAGGGGGGTGGTCCAGGTTTTCGTTTATGGAAATGTGTGTAAATTCTGACGGCGTTGCATATCTTGCCGTGTCGCCTTGCCCCTATCAGGTCAAACGACATAACGTTGTACGCCTTGCCGTGTCGCCCTGTTCCTATCAGGCTACATGATATAACGTTGTACTCCTTGCCGTGTCGCCCTGTTCCTATCAGGCTATATGATATAACGTTGTACTCCTTGCCGTGTCGCCCTGTTCCTATCAGGCTACATGATATAACGTTGTACTCCTTGCCGTGTCGCCCTGTTCCTATCAGGCTACATGATATAACGTTGTACTCCTTGCCGTGTCGCCCTGTTCCTATCAGGCTATATGATATAACGTTGTACGCCTTGCCGTGTCGCCCTGTCTCTATCAGGCTATATGATATAACGTTGTACTCCTTGCCGTGTCGCCCTGTCCCTATCAGGCTATATGATATAACGTTGTACTCCTTGCCGTGTTGCCCTGTTCCTATCAGGCTACATGATATAACATTGTACTCCTTGCCGTGTCGCCCTGTCTCTATCAGGCTACATGATATAACGTTGTACGCCTTGCCGTGTACCCCTGTCCCTGTAAGGCTACATGATATAACGTTGTACGCCTTGCCGTGTAGCCCTGTCCCTATCAGGCTATATGATATAACGTTGTACGCCTTGCCGTGTTGCCCTGTCCCTATCAGGCTACATGATATAACGTTGTACGCCTTGCCGTGTTGCCCTGTCCCTATCAGGCTATATGATATAACGTTGTACGCCTTGCCGTGTAGCCCTGTCCCTATCAGGGCACATGATATAACGCTGTACGCCTTGCCCTGTAGCCCTGTCCCTACCAGGGCACATGATATAACGTTGTACTCCTTGCCGTGTCGCCCTGTCCCTATCAGGGCACATGATATAACGTTGTACGCCTTGCCTTGTAGCCCTGTCCCCTGTGTCCCTGGTGTAACGTTGTCGCCAGGCCAAACACGTAACATCCCGTCAAGCGTTACCTGGAAAATGTACACCTGTGTTGCTTTTTGTCATCAATATTGTAGCTTCATGTATAACATTGTTCCAGACATTTGTGAACGAGGGAGAGAACACATTATGTTGGTATTCCTGGCCACCCTCCTTGTGTTCCCGCCCTGCGTCGCCGCCCAGATGGAGCAGAGCTTGTTTGACAGACTCCCCGCCATGGACGGCAAGATAGTGACGTCCAACGTCGTCATGCCACAGACTAAGCTGGACCTGGGGGCTTGCAGCTTTCACTGTCTGGGGAACCCCAAGTGTAAGGCTTTCTTCCACCACAAGGAAACTTCTCTCTGCCAACTCCAGGCTGCCAAGGGTTCCGGGGGCAAGGCGGAGAAAGGGTGGCTGCACTATTACAAGAAGTGAGAGGCGCCCACGTTTAGAACTCCTCCAGGTAAACTGTGTACGATTTATTTGTTTGAAATGAAGCCATGCACTTTAAAAAAAGAAGGTAAGAGGTAAAGGTGTTTTAAGGAACGGCGAGCGGTGCAGGTGCGAGATTAAAGGCGATTACATGAGTTGAGAGTGGTCCAGGTGCGAGATAAGGGAAGTATAAATGAGTGGAGAGTGGTCCAGGTGCGAGATAAGGGATGTATAAATGATCGGAGAGTGGTCCAGGTGCGAGATAAGGGGTGTATAAATGAGTGGAAAGTGCTGCGGGTGCGAGATAAGGGGTGTATAAATGAGTGGAGAATGGTGCAGGTGCGAGATAAGGGATGTATAAATGAGTGGAGAGTGGTGCAGGTGCGAGATAAGGGGTGTATAAATGAGTGGAAAGTGCTGCGGGTGCGAGATAAGGGGTGTATAAATGAGTGGAAAGTGCTGCGGGTGCGAGATAAGGGGTGTATAAATGAGTGGAGAATGGTCCAGGTGCGAGATAAGGGATGTATAAATGAGTGGAGAATGGTGCAGGTGCGAGATAAGGGATGTATAAATGAGTGGATAGTGCTGCGGGTGCGAGATAAGGGGTGTATAAATGAGTGGAGAGTGGTGCAGGTGCGAGATAAGGGATGTATAAATGAGTGGATAGTGCTGCGGGTGCGAGATAAGGGGTGTATAAATGAGTGGAGAGTGGTGCTGGTGCGAGATAAGGGATGTATAAATGAGTGGAGAATGGTGCAGGTGCGAGATAAGGGATGTATAAATGAGTGGAGAGTGGTCCAGGTGCGAGATAAGGGGTGTATAAATGAGTGGAGAGTGGTGCAGGTGCGAGATAAGGGATGTATAAATGAGTGGAGAGTGGTCCAGGTGCGAGATAAGGGGTGCATAAATGAGTGGAGAGTGGTGCAGGTGCGAGATAAGGGATGTATAAATGAGTGGAGAGTGGTCCAGGTGCGAGATAAGGGGTGTATAAATGAGTGGAGAGTGGTGCAGGTGCGAGATAAGGGATGTATAAATGAGTGGATAGTGGTCTAGGTGCGAGATAAGGGGTGTATAAATGAGTGGAAAGTGCTGCGGGTGCGAGATAAGGGGTGTATAAATGAGTGGAGAATGGTGCAGGTGCAAGATAAGGGATGTATAAATGAGTGGAGAGTGGTGCAGGTGCGAGATAAGGGATGTATAAATGAGTGGAGAGTGGTGCAGGTGCGAGATAAGGGATGTATAAATGAGTCGAAAGTGCTGCGGGTGTGAGATAAGGGGTGTATAAATGAGTGGAGAGTGGTGCAGGTGCAAGATAAGGGATTTATAAATGAGTGGAGAGTGGTGCAGGTGCGAGATAAGGGGTGTATAAATGAGTGGAGAGTGGTGCAGGTGCGAGATAAGGGATGTATAAATGAGTGGAGAATGGTGCAGGTGCAAGATAAGGGATGTATAAATGAGTGGAGAATGGTCCAGGTGCGAGATAAGGGATGTATAAATGAGTGGAGAATGGTGCAGGTGCAAGATAAGGGATGTATAAATGAGTGGAGAGTGGTCCAGGTGCGAGATAAGGGGTGTATAAATGAGTGGAGAGTGGTGCAGGTGCGAGATAAGGGATGTATAAATGAGTGGAGAGTGGTCCAGGTGCGAGATAAGGGGTGTATAAATGAGTGGAGAGTGGTCCAGGTGCGAGATAAAGGGTGTATAAATGAGTGGAGAGTGGTGCAGGTGCGAGATAAGGGGTGTATAAATGAGTGGAGAATGGTCCAGGTGCGAGATAAGGGGTGTATAAATGAGTGGAGAGTGGTCCAGGTGCGAGATAAGGGGTGTATAAATGAGTGGAGAGTGGTCCAGGTGCGAGATAAGGGGTGTAGAAATGAGTGGAGAGTGGTGCAGGTGCGAGATAAGGGATGTATAAATGAGTGGATAGTGCTGCGGGTGCGAGATAAGGGGTGTATAAATGAGTGGAGAATGGTCCAGGTGCGAGATAAGGGATGTATAAATGAGTGGAGAATGGTGCAGGTGCGAGATAAGGGATGTATAAATGAGTGGAGAGTGGTGCAGGTGCGAGATAAGGGGTGTATAAATGAGTGGAGAGTGGTGCAGGTGCGAGATAAGGGATGTATAAATGAGTGGAGAGTGTTGCAGGTGCGAGATAAGGGATATATAAATGAGTGGAGAGTGGTGCAGGTGAGGAGATAAGGGGTGTATAAATGAGTGGAGAGTGGTGCAGGTGCGAGATAAGGGATGTATAAATGAGTGGATAGTGCTGCGGGTGCGAGATAAGGGGTGTATAAACGAGTGGAGAGTGGTGCAGGTGCGAGATAAGGGATGTATAAATGAGTGGATAGTGCTGCGGGTGCGAGATAAGGGGTGTATAAATGAGTGGAGAGTGGTCCAGGTGCGAGATAAGGGATGTATAAATGAGTGGAGAGTGGTGCAGGTGCGAGATAAGGGATGTATAAATGAGTGGAGAGTGGTGCAGGTGCGAGATAAGGGATGTATAAATGAGTGGAGAGTGGTGCAGGTGCGAGATAAGGGGTGTATAAATGAGTGGAGAGTGGTCCAGGTGCGAGATAAGGGATGTATAAATGAGTGGATAGTGGTCTAGGTGCGAGATAAGGGGTGTATAAATGAGTGGAGAGTGCTGCGGGTGCGAGATAAGGGGTGTATAAATGAGTGGAGAATGGTGCAGGTGCAAGATAAGGGATGTATAAATGAGTGGAGAGTGGTCCAGGTGCGAGATAAGGGGTGTATAAATGAGTGGAGAGTGGTGCAGGTGCGAGATAAGGGATGTATAAATGAGTGGAGAGTGGTGCAGGTGCAAGATAAGGGATGTATAAATGAGTGGAGAGTGGTCCAGGTGCGAGATAAGGGGTGTAGAAATGAGTGGAGAGTGGTCCAGGTGCGAGATAAGGGATGTATAAATGAGTGGAGAGTGGTCCAGGTGCGAGATAAGGGATGTATAAATGAGTGGAGAGTGGTCCAGGTGCGAGATAAGGGATGTATAAATGAGTGGAGAATGGTGCAGGTGCAAGATAAGGGATGTATAAATGAGTGGAGAGTGGTCCAGGTGCGAGATAAGGGATGTATAAATGAGTGGAGAGTGGTCCAGGTGCGAGATAAGGGATGTATAAATGAGTGGATAGTGCTGCGGGTGCGAGATAAGGGATGTATAAATGAGTGGATAGTGCTGCGGGTGCGAGATAAGGGGTGTATAAATGAGTGGAGAATGGTGCAGGTGCGAGATAAGAGATGTATAAATTGAGTGGAGAGTGGTGCAGGTGCGAGATAAGGGATGTATACATGAGTGGAGAGTGGTGCAGGTGAGGAGATAAGGGGTGTATAAATGAGTGGAGAGTGGTGCAGGTGCGAGATAAGGGATGTATAAATGAGTGGATAGTGCTGCGGGTGCGAGATAAGGGGTGTATAAATGAGTGGAGAGTGGTGCAGGTGCGAGATAAGGAATGTATAAATGAGTGGAGAGCGGTGCAGGTGCGAGATAAGGGATGTATAAATGAGTGGATAGTGCTGCGGGTGCGAGAAAAGGGGTGTATACATGAGTGGAGAGTGGTGCAGGTGCGAGATAAGGGATGTATAAATGAGTGGAGAGTGGTGCAGGTGCGAGATAAGGGATGTATAAATGAGTGGAGATTGGTGCTGGTGCGAGATAAGGGATGTATAAATGAGTGGAGAGTGGTGCAGGTGCGAGATAAGGGGTGTATAAATGAGTGGAGAGTGTTGCAGGTGCGAGATAAGGGATGTATAAATGAGTGGATAGTGCTGCGGGTGCGAGATAAGGGATGTATAAATGAGTGGAGAGTGGTGCAGGTGCGAGATAAGGGATGTATAAATGAGTGGAGAGTGGTGCAGGTGCGATATAAGGGATGTATAAATGAGTGGAGAGTGTTGCAGGTGCGAGATAAGGGATGTATAAATGAGTGGAGAGTGGTGCAGGTGCGAGATAAGGGGTGTATAAATGAGTGGAGAGTGGTGCAGGTGCGAGATAAGGGGTGTATAAATGAGTGGAGAGTGGTGCAGGTGCGAGATAAGGGGTGTATAAATGAGTGGAGAGTGGTGCAGGTGCGAGATAAGGGATGTATAAATGAGTGGAGAGTGTTGCAGGTGCGAGATAAGGGATGTATAAATGAGTGGAGAGTGGTGCAGGTGCGAGATAAGGGATGTATAAATGAGTGGAGAGTGGTCCAGGTGCGAGATAAGGGGTGTATAAATGAGTGGAGAGTGGTGCAGGTGCGAGATAAGGGATGTATAAATGCGTGGATAGTGCTGCGGGTGCGAGATAAGGGGTGTATAAATGAGTGGAGAGTGGTGCAGGTGCGAGATAAGGAATGTATAAATGAGTGGAGAGCGGTGCAGGTGCGAGATAAGGGATGTATAAATGAGTGGATAGTGCTGCGGGTGCGAGAAAAGGGGTGTATACATGAGTGGAGAGTGGTGCAGGTGCGAGATAAGGGATGTATAAATGAGTGGAGAGTGGTGCAGGTGCGAGATAAGGGATGTATAAATGAGTGGAGATTGGTGCTGGTGCGAGATAAGGGATGTATAAATGAGTGGAGAGTGGTGCAGGTGCGAGATAAGGGGTGTATAAATGAGTGGAGAGTGTTGCAGGTGCGAGATAAGGGATGTATAAATGAGTGGATAGTGCTGCGGGTGCGAGATAAGGGATGTATAAATGAGTGGAGAGTGGTGCAGGTGCGAGATAAGGGATGTATAAATGAGTGGAGAGTGGTGCAGGTGCGATATAAGGGATGTATAAATGAGTGGAGAGTGTTGCAGGTGCGAGATAAGGGATGTATAAATGAGTGGAGAGTGGTGCAGGTGCGAGATAAGGGGTGTATAAATGAGTGGAGAGTGGTGCAGGTGCGAGATAAGGGGTGTATAAATGAGTGGAGAGTGGTGCAGGTGCGAGATAAGGGGTGTATAAATGAGTGGAGAGTGGTGCAGGTGCGAGATAAGGGATGTATAAATGAGTGGAGAGTGTTGCAGGTGCGAGATAAGGGATGTATAAATGAGTGGAGAGTGGTGCAGGTGCGAGATAAGGGATGTATAAATGAGTGGAGAGTGGTCCAGGTGCGAGATAAGGGGTGTATAAATGAGTGGAGAGTGTTGCAGGTGCGAGATAAGGGGTGTATAAATGAGTGAAGAGTGGTGCAGGTGCGAGATAAGGGGTGTATAAATGAGTGGATAGTGCTGCGGGTGCGAGATAAGGGGTGTATAAATGAGTGGAGAGTGGTCCAGGTGCGAGAAAAAGGGTGTATAAATGAGTGGATAGTGCTGTGGGTGCGAGATTAAAGGCGATTATATGAGTTGAGAGCGGTGCAGGTGCGAGAAAAGGGGTGTATAAATGAGTGGAGCGTGGTCCAGGTTTCAGATAAGGGGTGTGTAAATGAATGGAGAGTGCCGCAGGTGCGAGATAAAAGGCGATGATATGAGTGGAGAGTGGTCCAGGTGCAAGTGCGAAATAAGGGGTTTATTAATGAGTGGAGCGTGGTCCAGGTTTGAGATAAGGGGTGTGTAAATGAGTGGAGAGTGCCGCAGGTGCGAGATAAAAGGCGATTATATGAGCGGAGAGTGGTATAGATTTTATACTGAGGGAGTGTGTCATAAGTCTTCTGTGTAATAAAGAACATCTGTAGGAATTACATGTTTTATTTTTCAGGTTGGGCAACACCCGGTAAAGGAGGGATCCTGGCTTGATTCAGTGACTGGTTTAAATATGCAAAATATTCTGTACTACCACCCTTGATATATCGATATTGTTGCCTTAGGTTTACATTTCGAATCTAGTTACCTTGAAATAAGTGTTCTTTCAGATTTAATATGCAATAAATCATGTAAAGTTCATGAAATAAAGAAAAAGCTTGCAACGTTTCTCCTGCTTGTTTATACTTGTATTACAGTGCATCTATTTCATTATACTTTTTATATTTTTCACAAATTTTCAGAAATTAAACTTCACCTAAATACGTAAATTCGAAAGTCGCTAGACCAGTATTTCTCGTTTGTATCGCCATTGGTCTGCCATGACGGCGACCCGTGAAGATCCGGGGTAGAAATGCTTGCCGTAAAAGGCGACTATGCTTGTCGTAATAGGCGACTAACGGGATCGGGTGGTCAGGCTCGCTGATTCGGTTGATGCATGTCATCGTAGCCCAGTTCCGTAGATCACTGCTCATGACGGCATTTACGGGATTATCTGGTCCACACTCGATTATTTAAAGGCCAACGTCATATAATTGTAATATTGCTGAGTGCGGCGTTTAACAACAAACAAAACAAGAACAATCTGCATCACATATTTCTGTATGTATGACCGTAAAATGTTGCATATCCTTGTCACGGGTTACTGTTTGTTTGCTTAGAGAGTTTGGTCCTACGTTGTTTGTGGTAATGTAAGGGCGTCCGTTCGTCCCTATAGTAACCTGAACACTATTCCCTTTCAAAAACAATTTTTTACAAACGAAAAGGATAGCGACCAAATCATGGATATATTGTATTGCCATTAATCATTTACTAACATAACAGAAATGCTTGCCGTTAAAGGCGACTATGGTTGTCGTATTAGGCGACTATCGGGATCGGGTGGTCAGGCTCGCTGATTCGGTTGATGTATGCCATCAATCCAAATTTCGTGGAACGAAGCTCACTGGATTGTCTGGTCCAGACTCGATTATTTACAGATCGCCGTCACATAGCTGGAATATTGCTGAGTGGGGCGTAAAGCAACAAACCAACCAACCAACCAACCATGACGGCTGCCCCTTGGCGAGCTCATTCACGCGAACAGTAAATGACGTGATCACAGATACAATCAGCGCGGACGTCCGCCCCAGCCCTTGTTCTCTTGATTAATGTTTTGTTACCAGCCGGCGCAGGTTGTGACCATCATCTAAAACTGTAATTAAAATCAACATTTGTTATGCAATACTGATACTGTTCTATTACCACCGGACGGACATTACAACATTAAAGTAATTGTTAATGTGATACCAGTAGAGTTGTGGGGGTATATAACTCCTTGGGTGTCGGTCCTCGGCACATTTGCTTGAATAAACCCTAAGGTCCTCACAGCTCTCTCCTCTCTTGTTTCAAGGGAAGAAAATTTAAATATTCCTATTTTATGACTTAACTTCTTATGTCATTGTTATCATTATCTAGAAAATGTTAAGTTGAATCAGAATTGCCATATTGTAATGCTCAATCTAATGTGTACAAGTTCTAAATGACTGCTCATTTAATATAATTTACCGTTTAATATTCAGGCACTGTCCAGTGATGTTTTAAGTATAATGCGTCAAAACCAATATTTCTCTCCTATGTTTCGACATCCATGATTATATCCCCCTTCTATGTCTAATGTCATCTGTTCAAAATGCCAGATGCATATAATGTTTATATTTTCGTGCAGTAGTGTAGCGTATATGAGCTTAGTCACAAACCGTTCCCAGAGTTAACACAACTGCCGAAGCAAGATATATTTTATACGTAGGTCGCTTATTCCATACTTTCCGTTAGTCCACCGTTCAAAGGTTATACGAGCAGCTTTACCTTCCGTGTGTGCTTACAGAATAGGCTATAATAACGCATTCCGTATTGTTTAGGTTTTGTCATCACGAAGTAAGTATTTGAATATATTGTAAATAGCACCGTCCCTCATACAGTTGTATACGGTACAACCCAGCCTATACGCCAATTTCACTACCGTAGTCATTTAAATACAGTTATAGTCAGTCTCTGTTTATCATAACAATGACTATTCAAATGCGCACCGTTTGGGAAAACAATTACCGTATTTACTACATTAGCTGCTATCGTCTAGCTCTGTATATATTCAGGAACTGCGCGCAACAAAGCCGCCGTGATTCATTACCATAGTCCCCAAACTATCACCACTAAAACTAATAATTACACCAACTAAAACTGAGCTATATCTTCCACCGCGAACATTCATATCTTTATTTGGATCAAGTATTTACTTTCCGTGTTTACCGAAGTTATTATGCTGGATAATTATTTCTGAAACCACAAATATTAACGTTTACCGTCTTAAGTAAATGTCATGTTCCTCATCTACACAGTTTGCGCAGTCTACCGCATATGATCTACATATTTATTTTCATTTAATGTTAATGGCTATAAATAGTTAACCGTATTTACCCAAATAGGAGCGACATACCACACAAAGAATTGTCATGTAGGTTTTACCGTACCGAGGCCTGACAGTTATTTGAATCACCTCAAAGCTGTCTTACCTGTTGTGATCAGTTCATCCGGTACGTTACTTCAAGAACCTTAGTAATAATTAATCACGGCATATGCATTACTCTGTAGAGACCCTTGTGATAATTGAAACAGTTTCACCTTTTTTTCTTTCTTTTTGTAAACAATATTTATTTCCACTTGGTACTGTGAAAGGGGACTGATATACAGGCAGAGCCTATCTAAATATCTCTCCCCAACAAAATTCAAACAAGCAGCAGAAGTATTATAATACAGTAGTATAGACTTCAGTTATATGTGGAAAATCAAAGGTAAACAGTTGTTGGTGAGATATATAAGAGTGCATGCTTAGACAAATATTTTGCTCATAGAGAAACAATGATGTAAAGAGTCAAAAATTTCAGCAGTATTTCCTTGTCTAGGCTGACGTTACCAAACAGGACGGTTCGAAGGTCATATCCATTAACATAATATTAGCTTTCAGATCTAATCTCACTATTATTTGGGCAAGTATATAGGTAATGTGAAGCGCTTTCATTGAAAAAAACACATGGACATTCAGGATTATCGCTTATAAATTTTTCAAATATCTGACCGTTTAGATCACTACATCCCAGTCTTAACTTAGGGTGGATTATCTGATGAACGCGTGAACCAATATTTTAAAATATGTCAGGCACTTCTGATTTACTACTGTTATACAGTTTTTTTTAAACTGAGATAATGAAGCGGCTGCTCTCAGAGTAGAATCTAGTACATTCCAGGCGGAAACTGGAAGTTAAAAATCATTTTTCAAATAATTCAGTTCGGCATTTAGACTTATAATATTCGTTAGTGTTACGTGTTTCATAATGTGGGCGATCCAAGGTTTTTACAGGTACCATATCACATAAATAACTTGGCGCTGTCCCACTTTTCATTTTATGAAAAATGAATAATTTGTGAAAGTGTCGTCTTTCAGCCAAGGAGGAAAGACCGGTTTTGTTATATATTTTTGTTTGACTTGTGCCCCTCACGGCACCACATATTGCCCTTCGTGCATCTAGATATAACATTTCTAGGGATAATTCTTGACCCTTGGTGCAATTATTCCATATATGGTCACAGTAATCAAACAAGGGTAATATGAATGAACAATAGAGCGTATGTAGACTGTGTCTGTTCAAATGATATTTCAGACTACGAAAGCTATTTATCAGTGGGCTAACCTTGGCAGTTAGATTTTCAAAATGGCTATGCCAATGCCCATCACTTTGTAAAGTTAGCCTGAGGTGTTTGTGGCTATTAACTTTCTTTATTTTTACGTTATTCATGAACATATCAGGCAGGAGAGTGACGTTCAGTTTTCTTGAAAATTGAATTGCTTCTGTTTTATTGGGATTAAATTTTACTTTACAAGTTTAATGTGTATGTTCTGCAGCTGTTATACTTCAGGTGGTGAGCTCGACAGGGAATAACAAGGATGTGCACAAGTCGTTGATGTCCATGTTCTGCAGCTGTTATACATCAGGTGCTGAGACTGACGGGAATAACAAGGATGTGCACTAGTCGTGGATGTCCATGTTCTGCAGCTGTTATACATCAGGTGTTGAGACTGACGGGAATAACAAGGATGGGCACTAGTCGTGGATGTCCATGTTCTGCAGCTGTTATACATCAGGTGATGAGACTGACGGGATTAACAAGGATGTGCACCAGTCGTGGATGTGTATGTTCTGCGGCTGTGATACATCAGGTGTTGAGACTGACGGGGAATAACAAGGATGTGCACTAGTCGTTGATGTCCATGTTTTGCAGCTGTTATACATCAGGTGATGAGACTGACGGGAGTAACAAGGATGTGCACCAGTCGTGGATGTGTATGTTCTGCAGCTGTTATACATCAGGTGTTGAGACTGACGGGGAATAACAAGGATGTGCACCAGTCGTGGATGTCCATGTTCTGCAGCTGTTATACATCAGGTGTTGAGACTGACGGGAGTAACAAGGATGTGCACCAGTCGTGGATGTGTATGTTCTGCAGCTGTTATACATCAGGTGTTGAGACTGACGGGGAATAACAAGGATGTGCACTAGTCGTGGATGTCAATGTTCTGCAGCTGTTATACATCAGGTGATGAGACTGACGGGAGTAACAAGGATGTGCACCAGTCGTGGATGTGTATGTTCTGCAGCTGTTATACATCAGGTGCTGAGACTGACGGGGAATAACAAGGATGTGCACTAGTCGTGGATGTCCATGTTCTGCAGCTGTTATACATCAGGTGTTGAGACTGACGGGAATAACAAGGATGTGTACTAGTCGTGGATGTCCATGTTCTGCAGCTGTTATACATCAGGTGATGAGACTGACGGGAGTAACAAGGATGTGCACCAGTCGTGGATGTGTATGTTCTGCAGCTGTTATACATCAGGTGTTGAGACTGACGGGGAATAACAAGGATGTGCACTAGTCGTGGATGTCCATGTTCTGCAGCTGTTATACATCAGGTGATGAGACTGACGGGGAATAACAAGGATGTGCACTAGTCGTGGATGTCCATGTTCTGCAGCTGTTATACATCAGGTGATGAGACTGACG